AATTCATTGTATAATTGAAGTTTTTGGATGTCAGGTAAGGTTTAGCTTCATCATCATGAGAATACGATAGTGATTTTAGTAATGGTGAGAAATCTTCGCTATCTGTTAATGAAGGTGAATTGATTGTTGATGAGAAGTGTCTAACCCTTTTTCTTTCACTTCTGTAATTATTGTGATCATCACGATCATCAGAGTCATCACAATCATCATGGTCATCACGGTCGTCTTGATCATCATAGTCATCATAGTTATCTCAGTCATCTCGATCATCATGGTCATTGTGGTCATCATGGCCATTGCTATGTGTTGATTCAACTTCAATGTCTTTATCAATTGGTAATGATAAGGTTTTCGTAGAAGTTGTCAGATCAATTGACTTCCTGTGAAAAGTTTTAGTATTAGTTGGAGTTTTTGAAGAAGCACCAATTAGATTTTTTGAAAAAACATTAGATGGATTATTTTTCAGTCTTGTTTCTTTTTAAGAGTAATGGATTAGAGATCGGTTATGAGGTTAAATTCATACATCTATCAGATTCTGTGATTACTTACCACGCGATAACATCTGAGAGAATTTATTTCCAGTAGTTCGAGAAGCTTTGTTCAATTGTTGGGTTTCAAAAGAAGTTCCATTATGAGCTTCTTTTGCATCATGTAGTTTATTTATATTTCTTCGCGTTCTTTTTGTCATGATTACTTAAGTATGTATTAATGAAAAAAAAATAACGTAGAGAAAAAACTTTGATAAAATAAAAAAAAACAAAAAAAGAGATTTGATGAAGATGTCGTTATTTTGGAAGTATTGGAGTAGAGTCGCGTCGTATAATAATAGTATTAAATGAATATATTAAGCAATATATAAATATGTAAATTTCTTTAATATTGAATCGATAACGAGACTTAGAATTATTATAGGCACAGTAGGTTAAGCGAAGAAAAGAAGTTAAGAGAAGCGTTTTATTTTTAAACAATGGCATTAGTCTATTTATATACTTTCTTACTTAAGCTATTGTTTGTCATACCTCTTAACAATTAATATATTAAATCGATGATAACATATTTAACAATGT